CCAAAGCATCTGCAAAGCAACCTCATGTTAACTACTTAACCCTTTGTCAATAATAAAAGTATTTTGGTCTCCTGCAGGTAAAGCATTATGTTTACCCAGGAGACTTAACCATTTCAATAAGTCAGAGTGGTACATGGAAGCCAAGGAGGCAAAGCATCTCATCTGTTGAATTTAACTCCAAACCTGCCATTATTTAAACCTCAAGTACATTTGCATACACTTTCCACTAATCTCCAGTCCAGCCTCAAATATTATGCCACATGGCAATCACAAATGAAAGGTTGGTATCACCTCTTATGAAACCAACTCAAACTGCTGGCCGAGCTGTCTGATATACAAAAGCTCTGTTCTTGATTATACAGGAATGTTGCTTGGCCAAAATACATATCACACACACAACCACATCAAATTAAGTTTGTGATACTGGATACTGATAGGAATGAACAATTTCTGCAAAGATTACAATCTGAAAAAACAAAATCGATATTCGTACAACAAGCAGAGACCTTTTAACACGGATTGCATCCCATTACCACTGGTCAGTCATGGCCAACTCTTGAAAATAGAAGCCTTTCTGTTTGTCAATAGTCTGACTGAGTTCTGAGAGAGGAGAAAAACCGCATTCATTTCCCACTGAAACCGCTCTCCAAATATTGTATTAATAAGAAATATCAATCCGCCAATTCGTGATAATTTTAGCCTTGTAGCATATGGGAATGATTTTTAATATATGTTGAAAAACGTCTGATACAAAAATATTTATATTGCTATCCCTAAGTTTCAGAGTACATGAGCTCAAAGCCTCTCAATATACTTTTAATTATTGCAGATTTAATAGATCATTTAATTTGTTCTATGCCAAAACTTATAAGGCAGGCTTTTCTCCATTTGCCAACATTTATGGCTCAAACAAGTTCTGTTGAAGTGCTTTACAGGACTCACAAATTAATATTAATTAAATTAAACATCCAGATTTTATCATCATCCTGCAGGAATCAACTCACAATCTTTTAGCTTTGAAACACTGCTCTTGAGTCCATTCTGAGGAAGGGTCAGCGGACCAGAAATGTTAACTCTGATTTTTCTTCACAGATGCTGCCAGACCTGCTGAGCTTTTCCAGCAACTTCTGTTTTTGTAGAAGTGTTCTTATGGGGTTACAGCTGAAGGGCATTGTGAGGACGATTTTGTAACCTTTAAAAAAAATTGAGGTGGGGGACCATTTCAGGTCCCAACCAGTAACTGCTGTCAGCACATCAGCCTGGAAGGTCATTCCAGTTGCAGGCAATTGAGAGCCTGCGTCTGGGTACCTTGTCTAGTTAAGGACATTGAGTGGGTTTCTAAGACCACCAGAAGTGGAAGTTGGCATTGCAGGATGGGAAGTCCCTCCAGAGGGTGGCATGTGATTGTGTGCAATGATGGCTGCGGAGACTGAATAATTTCCCACAGCGGGGAGCTTGTTGGCCGTGAGGTGAAGCATTGCAGCAAGGCAGATTGAGAACAGTGTTGAGGCGATGACGAAGCCCCGCTTGACACCGGCCGAATGGGGAATGGGTCGGTGGTGGAGCCATTTGTCATTACCATGACTTCCATATCGTTGTGGAGCAGGGCGAAAGATGGTGACAAACTTCATGGTGCACCCAAAGCAGAGAAAGACGCTCCATAATGCTTCCTGGTTGATGGTTTCAAAGGCCTTTGTAGGGCCGAAGAAGGCCACATACAGGGGTAGGTTCTTTTCTCTGCATTTCTCCTGCAGCTGTCACGCGGTGAAAATCATGCCCGTTGTGCCAAAAGCCACACTGCAACTCTGGGAGGAGTTCATCAGCCACAGGGAGGAGATGGTCGAGGAGGACCTTGGCGATGCCTTTTCCAAGGATCAACAGCAGGGAGGTTCCACTATAATAACCACAGTCGAACTTGCTCCTTTTCTTTTTTGAAAATACTCATGACCATGGCGTCTCAGAGCTCTACTGCAGTGTCATCAGGCTGTAGTGTGCAGATGATGCTTGTGTATGTACCATCTCCGAGGACTTACTCCAGACTATCATCAGCACCTTTTACAGAGGCATATGAGAGCACGGGTCTTACCCTGTACAGCCCCCTATTGATTCACCCTGAGAGTGGAAGAGAAGCATCCTTGTCTATGAGGGACCTCCATTGTTGATGGTGATGCAGCAATGGCTATGGTTCCAGGGCAACAGGGATAAAGTGAATCGAGAGGGGGCCTCCCTGTCTCCCAGCAGGTCCACCAACAGCAAGTTTCCTCCAGGTTTGGGCTGGACTGTAGTTTCAGGTGGTCTGCCTGCTATTGCCAGATCCTGCTGAATGATCCAATCTGCGCACAATTAGACAGTTCAACATACAAAGTGGCTGTTCACTGCCGCTGTCTCAGGTAGCTATTGCCTCTGCTACCCCACCTCCAGGAACACAATTAGCCAACTCACCCAAGGGATCTTCCCATCTTTCAAATTTTATTTTTGGTCCCAACTTCAAGACTCACCCAACTCACAGCCTGGGACTGGGAAGATTCCAAGAGTAGAGTTAGAGAGGTTTTAACTCTTCCTTTGGATTGCATTATACTGCTTGATATTGAGAATGTGTGAGTCTGAAATGGACAGTTTTCTGTTCCCCAGTGTAGTGTTCAATTGTTCTGAGTTTGATCACAACAGTCTTGTCACTGATTTATGCTCAAGTTGCTTGATTGGTTAAGCCTGGGCAAGGGCGCAGAGAAAAGTAAAGAAAGCTGGAGAAAGAGCTGGCAGTCAGTGCTCTTCCAAAAATAAATAAAGTAGAATAAAACCTGTTACACACGTAAAAACTGTGAGCAATGGTACACAGATCTGAGATAATAAATACTACTAATATAAATATAAAATAAAATTCAGTAGTAACAACTCACATCTATAAATTTCAAAAATATTCGGTGAGGATTGTATTGTCAGGAGGATTCATGTTCTTCCTACTGTTTGTTTGATTTAGTGTATCCAGTCACAATAATGAGCATCTATTACCACACACTAATACTTATAACAGACACAATCCTCTTCCTTTCCATTGACACAAATGACAACATTTTCAGCAGGATCAATGTGCCCACTTGAACCTTTGTGAGCGTGATACAAATTATAATTGAGGCGCTTCACACAGCAGAGGTGAACTGAGTTGTGGAAGTGATACTGACCAGAAAGGAAACAGTATCTGGAAGCGTACATTCCACTTGTTTGCAAGACAGTGAGCCTGGGAGGAACCTGCCAATTGAGTTAATGCCATGACCTTCAGAAGATGGAAGGATGTCAATAAAACCCCAAGGAGAAGTTAGCTTTTAATCAACAGACAATCAAGAGTACATGTTGTGGGAAAAAAAAATGTGCTTTAACAGGAAGTGTCAGGAGGAGTGTAACAGAGCTGAAATGGTGGGTCTGGCAGTCACTACAGTAAACATCTTCCATCCTGCATTCTTACTTTCCCATGTGTTATGCCAAAAAAGAAGTCTAGTCTCAAAGAAAAGATGGGATCCTTAATTGATATTGTGTGTTTTGTAGTACAATGCACATGCACAAGCAATGCTTTAGATTTTCATGTAGTATGTAGGGAATAAGTTTTGTTGCCTTTGGATCATCTGGTATACCGTCTCACAACCAATACAGTAACAGACAATAGCACAGAGACAGAGATACATGTACATCTGCGGAACTACTAGTACACATTACTTAGCAGTCCTGGCAAACTGCTAAATGAGATTCAGAGAGGTTATTACGGGCTTGCGGATTTCCTTGGGATAAATATGAAGCTTTACATAAACATCATCTAAGAACATAAAAATAGGAGCAGGCACAGACCACACAAGGTCACCAGGCCTTTCTGACCATTCATTCTTGATTTTGAGCTTCATTTCCACTTTCCCACCCAGTTTCCAAATCCCTCGTGTCCCTGGGGCACCAAAATTTTGTCTTCTTTCTCAGTCTTAAACGTATTCAACGATGGAGGATCTACATTCCTCTGGAATAAAGAATACCAATGATTCATAACCCTTTGAGAGAAGTAATTCTGACTTGTCCCATTCCTGAATGGATCTTTGATAATTATGGACTCCCATGTGAAGCCACCCATGTCAAATCACCCAATGTGACACGCCTTACTCTTTGGAGCCTCCCCAAAAGAGATTGTGAATGAGTTGACAACATTTCCTGGCTACAGTAACTCTTAAAAGCAACCAATGCCATCAATTGCATCTGTATTGAGGACTAGGTTGGGTGCATCCATTTCTAGAGAACTTAGGCAGTCACCTGAGCAGGGAGAATTGGGATACATCACAAAGACTGAACAGATGTATGGACTGATAGGGATCACTGGATAGGAAGCTGCTGGTGCAGATTTTGTGTTATGTGTTTGAGCCTGCCAAAGATACAGGATTTGTTGTGTCAGTTGTTCACTTTTTAGTAATGGGAGGCCACACACATGGTCCCATGCCCATTTGTACAATATCCTAACTCAGGGAGGAAATCATAGTTTCCATTGGACGAGAGATTCTTCTGCATGAACTGAGTTAACAGTAGAAGAGGTGTAGTTTTATCTACATTGTAACTGTCTTATGCCACACCATGGTGAACTTTATAGGGCAGATGATCAGGATAACTCAGCACCATCAATGCAACTTATAGTTACATAATCACATACCATAAGGAATACATGGCTTTGTCCTCATTTCAGTGAATCATCTTAGTGCAGATTGCATCTTATATCTGCATCTTGTTCTTCCTTTCAAATAAAACCACTCTCTCTCCTGTATTTCAAAGCTTTTTAATGACTGCTTATTTAGCATACACTTCTTAAAAATCTAAATGTCTCTGTTGGGTCCTCAAAGGACATATAACCTACTCCTGCTTCTTTGATGCTGTTCTCCTGCTTGATTCGTTTCTGGTTTGGCCAATCCTTCACAAAACATTTTATCTCCATGGTGTTGGAATATTGATTTATTGTCGGGAAAGTAAGGCCAGTCTATTGTTCAAAAATCAAGACGATGCACTGTAACAAGAAGCCTCATCCACCAGATGCTGTGGACAGAAAACCTTGAGCATGGAAATGATGGCTGGATACTTTGCCTGTAATGAATAACAGATCAAACATTATGGGCTGTAAGTTCTCTATAGGCGTGGTTCACATACATATAGTGATCTGCCACAATGGTATCAAAGAAAGGAAACTGCATCTGATACAGCAATGTTTACGTCAGCTCCTATAGTGTAAATTTGGATATGGGTAACGTAGCAGTGGAAGATTTCATAGACTTTTATTTCAGCTCCTGATACCTACAAAAATTATAGGCAGAGGCACATCAGTATCTGGGTTAATATTAAGTCATCCAGTTACAAACAGTAGTATGCCTTAAGCAGCACATCATGCTTCCACTAGCCCCAGTTAAGATGGAGACTGAAAATTTTATACCCTCAGATCACATGCTGTGATGTACTGATGACATCACGACTAGGATTCTTAAGGGTTCACTGCATACTAACTATGAGACATTACACAACACATAGAATTATACCATCTTACAGTACAGGAAGAGGCCTTTTGGCCCATCCTGCTTATGCTGATTCTTTGAAAGAGTGATCTACTCAGTCCAAATCCCCTGTGCTTTCTCCATAAAGCTGCCATTCTTTTATTCTTCAAGTCTATCTACAATTCCTTGCGAAAACTGCTGTAGAAAGTACTTTCAGCACATGTTTGAAAAAGATGTTATGATGTCATGATTATCAGCAATTCAATGTAAAGGGCAGTGCAATTCCACCAAATAGACAAGCGGAACAGACACAAGCTGCAGCAACAAGGGAGCATTGTCACCTTCAAATCAAAATTGCACAAACTACAGGACTGCAGCTTAAATTAATTGCTGCATGACTACTGAATTACTTTTGACGTATGGCTCTTGCATTTTTGCATCACAACATTAAACCACGCAAGTAATATTGCGAGGAATGATCCAGCCATCTGATTCTTTAAAGCACGTTGAATCGAAGGATAAATGGTGACAGGTCACCAGGAGAACTCCCTAAACTCTTCGATCAGTGTCACCACCTGAACATTGTTCTGAAGCAGTCATACATTCAGTTCAAAATACTAAATTCTCTTCCCTCTTTACAGATACTGCCCGGCCTGCTGAGTATTTCTAGCACTTTCAGTTTTGTTGCAGGCAGAATGTTGATTGGCCTAATATGTCATAAAAATGGCCACACCTGAGAACAGAAACGCAAGCTTCGATTATGTGCTGAAGTCTGAAAAATTTATCAAATCAAAGCTGGAGCTTTGCCACTTTTGGGTCAAAAATCTGGGTATCCTAACCCCTTTGAGAGTTTTGAGTGATTCTAAAGCCCAAAACCACTCACTCAACAAAATGATGTGCGGTCAATAAATACAACTTTACTGGCAGCAATATCAACAAATGAAAAACACAGGTTTACACCTCAGTTATTACCGTGGATCTTTGCGTTTGTGTATATTTAAACTTTTAAACTGCACTTCTCATCCAACATCACAAGATAATGAATTAGCCAAATAATACGGAGAATGCTCATGGGTGACAGACTTTACAAGATCAGCACTGTTCCACTCTAACCAGCACTCCAGTTTATGAGTTCACTGATCGCATTTATGGAAAACCTTTCTGTTCATTTGCACTTGCAGTCAATGGGATTTCCTTAAACATTACTCCTTACGAACAAATTACATTTGTTTGTACAGCTGATATATGTGAAAATGCATATTTTTTCCACATGGACCTGCTGTCTGTATTCCTGTACTTCTTCAAAGATTTACTCAGTTGAGGTATTCTCCAAAAATCTGGAAGCTATTTTCCGCCTGTGTGCAATTAGTTCCAAAGCTAAAACTGAATAGATACAAAGGAACCAAAATCAGCTTTTTACATCTGTATCAGTTAACCCTGACAATATGAATTTGGCTAAGAATATGACATTTACCACACCGCTTCAATACAAGAGATAGCTGGGTGATAAAGTGCATTGGTCTGGTAACATGCCACATGACAGTCCAGGGCGCTGATGTCCACAAATGGGAAGAAATACTTCCTTTACTATGATGTAAGCTTTTTCTTTAGTGCTCCCAGTACAGTGCTTAACCTGTTGGGCCAGCAGACCGACACCTGAATTCGTAATATAAGCTCCTAGCCTAGGGGTCTTGTGGTGCAATAGTGGTATCCCTACCTCTGTGCAAAGAGGCCCAAGTTCAAGATCAAGTTCAAGCCTGAGAGAGTTGTTGAGGAAAATATCAATCCTCTCCACTTAAATCTCAGCAACAGGAATGTGGAAACACATGTCTTTACCTCAGTGAATGAAAAAAAAACACTTTTTTCAAATGGTGTCCAGAGTACTTAATCCTCCATAATATCGAGAAACTGCACTGCTCTTTTGACCTTCCATTGGCCACATATGGAAAGTTCTGGCATTAGGAAGGAAAGAGGTTAGTGGTCTCCACTTACCATACACTCACTTTCCTACTTCCAACGCCATCATGGTTGAGATTGCCGCCCAATATTGATAGGCGTGGTCTGTAAAGAAATTCTTGCTTTACAGAATTACACAGCACAGGAGGAGATCATAGTGACCATTGTGTGTGTATGGGTTCTCCCAATGAGCATCTCACTGAGTGTCATTCCCACCCCTCACCTGAACCCTCTGCCATACCCCATAACTCTGCTCATTTTTCCTTTTCACAAAACAGTCTAATCCCCTTGGAATGGCTCTATTAAACCTGCCTCCACCTCACTCTCAGGCAGTGCACTCCAAACGTTATCCATTCACTGCATGAAAGAGTTTTTCCCTATGTCACTTTTGCTTCTTTAGCCAATTACTTTAAACCTGTGCCTTCTCATTCTCAATCCTTTCAGAAATGGGAACAATTTCTTCCTATCTACTCTGTCCCGATACCTCAATTTTGAATACCTCAATGAAATGTCCAATCAGCCTTCTATTCTCCAAGGTAAACAGTCCCACGTTCTCCAATTTATCTTCATAAATGCAGCAGGAAACATTCTCATGAACCTTTCCTGCACCCTCTCTCTGATGCCTTCACATCCTTCCTAAGTGTGACACCCAGATTTGGACACAGTACTCCAGCTCAGGCTGAGCTAGTGCCTCACACCAGTTCAAGATAAGCTCCTTGCTCTTGTACCTCATGCCCCTACTGGATACTGTATACTTGATTAACTGCTCTCTACCTGTGCTGCCAAACTTTTTGACTTATACATGTATATATCCATGTCCTTCTGTTCCTGAACACCCTTTAGATAATGTGCCCTTTGTGTTTTATTGTCTCTCCAGTTCTTCTGATCACAATGAATCATTTTACATTTCTCCAAATTGAACATCATCTACCACCTCTCAGGCCACTTCAAGTTTTCCAGTCTTTTGAAGTTCTACAGTATCCTTCTCAAAGTTCTTCCGAGTTTTGTATCACACATAAATTTTCAAATTGTGCTCCCCCAAAGTCTCGGTCATTCATATATCATCGAATCCCTACAATGTGGAAGCAGGCCATTGAACTCATCAAGTCCATGGCAATCCTCTGAGCAGCATCCCACACGGACCCACCCTCCCCTCCCTTATCCCTGTAACTTGCAGTTTCCCATGGCTAATCCACCAAGCCTGAACATCCCTGGACACTATGGGCTATTTAGGATGGCCAATCCACCCAACCTGCACATCTTAGGACTTTGGGAGGAAACCAGAGCATCCAGAAGAAACCCACACAGGCACAGGGAGAATATGCAAACTTCACACAGATAATCGAAGGGTGGGATCGAACCCACGTCCCTGGCGCTGTGAGGCAGCAATGCTAACCACTGAGCCACCATGCCGCCTGGACATATAGCGGAGAGAACGAGGGTGAAGAAACACAACAGTAATTACTTCCAAGAGGTGCAATACTAAACTGGAACAGTGCCACTGGAATCAGAGCTTAAAGGCTTTCTGTTTCCAATCTACGTTAATGAATGAATATTGAAACCAGCTAGAAACTGGCCAAGGCTGCAATGTAGTGGTAATGTCATTACACATGGTAATCCAAAGACCCTACTGTGCCAGGAACATGGGCATGAGTCCTACCATGACAGATGGTGAAATCTGAATTCCATAAAAACTCAGAAATTGAAGAAAGGCTTGTCCAATGGTACCATGTGTCAACTGTCATAAATAAACATCTGGCCCTTTAGGAGAATCTGTTGAAAGACAACAAATGTTGGCCCAGGTACTGATGCCCACATCCCATGAACTCTTTAAAAAAAAAGTTGACTGATGATTGCAAAACAACAGGAAGGATTTTGGAGGGAGAGTATAACCAAAGGCGTAAATGCCTTCCCCAAGGCTATTTTGGTGGCAGGTGGGAAATTAATCAGGCAGATGGATGGTAGGCAGTGACCTAATTAAGTTCAGGGTAGCAAGGGAGTGGCCAGGGTTCCTGCACTGCCTTCAACTGAGGCTGCAAAGCCCAATTAAAGCCTATCCCACTGCCATTGTATTTCACTCAGCAGGGACTGGCCTTTGCTGACAGCCTTTGGGGAAGGGGATGGCCACTGTTGTCAGAAACTGTTCCTTGTTAGAGGGACCAAGCATCAGGAGGAAGAGGGTTACTGTCCTAGAGCCGTTCCTCTACCCCCGCTATCAATACCCCATATCCCCTCCTCAAATCCCCTTCCACTGTTAATTATCTGTTCTTTCTGGTTGGTGTAGAGCTTGTAGCAAATACTGCTTCTGTTGCGCTGCCTCTAATGCACAGCCAGTAGCATCTGTTTGGCCAGAGGCTGTCGAAGACTGAATTTACAAACTTGGGGGAGGCCCAGTTAAATTGGCAGCCGTTTCAAAAACAGGCAATTGTGAGGCCCCAATCCACCATTCCACTGCATCCTTTCAGTGCAGCCCAAGTTTCAGAACTCTACTCCTACTCCTTAGCAATGCTGTCAGTTCTGACAGTATTTGATGTGAGGGCAAAAGATCCTCCCTATCTTGAACAATTTGCTGTTATTTTCTTGGGCTGTGGTTCTTGTCCCTGAGGGCTAATTGTCAGGAGCGCAGACAATACTCCTTGTGTA